CTCAACTAAAGGTGACTAAAAATACTTTGGGTAATTGGACTGCAACCAAAGAACATGCCCCCACTGCCCTGAGAGATGGGTCTCGCTCCCACACCCTGCTCTTTCCCTTGGCTCAGCTTGAAAATTTCAAGTAAAGCACTCAGCCCCTCTCTCTCTCCTGCTGTTTTAGGCCTCCAGGAGTTAGAAAGCAAACATCAGAGAACAACTGCCTCCTTTGCAGGAAAACAGGTCACTTTAGCAGAGGCAGAACCAGGCTTTGGTGCATGATGGGTGGCAGGTAAGTAAAAAGAGCAAAGTTTTCACACAAACGACATTTGAGCTGCAGAAGTCACGCGTGTGACAAAGCAGTTGCCATGAAACTGTACCCTCTTCAACAAAAAACTAATTTCTTCACCTCAGATTTTTCTGACATTCTGCTATGACAATATAACCATGTAAGTTTGTATTTTCATCTTGCTCAGTATAATCTACTTGTTAAGTGCCTTTAAGGTATTCTCAAGTTCCACAGAAAGACACTCAAAAATACTTCCACATAATTCCTAAACATCCCAGGACCATAAACGGGTGTTATTTTCAGAAAACAGAATGTGTGCCAAAAAGCTTTAGATCAAAGTATCTTCCAGTAGTTTTACTCCAAATTTGGCCATGAAAAAGTCCAACTTAAAAACCAAAACCATCTAATCTAGCCTTGACATTCCACTGTCTGATAACAGCCTTCCTTTAAGGGGGAAGAGACAATTTGACCAAACTAAAGGTGACTCTGATTGAAATGACTACCACCAAAAAAAAATTTATCTAATTTATTGTGGAAAAATGTGCCAGAGAGCTTGATGAAATTTCAGCCGGACAACAAAGTAGACACATTTCTTTCTTTTAGATGCATGTTTCTTCCTTTTTTGCCTTTTAGTTCCTTTCATAAGTATTACATGATACTGGCAGTATCAGCTTCCAGGCTCAGTAAGGGCTTCCCCAACCCCTCAACCCCATGTTGTCACATGTCTCAACATTGAAGAAATCCTTTTTCATAGACCAAAGAATCACAGAATAGTTTGGGTTGGAAGGGACCTTTAAAGGCCATCTAGTCCAACTCACATGCAATAAGCAGGAACATTTTTTACTAGATCAGCACCTCATCCAACCTGATCATGAAGGTTTCCAGGGATGGGGCATCTACCACCTCTCTGGGCAACCTGCTTTAGTGTTTCACCACCTTCAACATAATTTTTTCCTAATATTATCTGATTCTACCCTTCTTCAGCTTAAAATCATTACCTTTGTCCTATCACTACAGCCCTGCTAAAATGTCTGTTCTCACCTTTCTTATAATCCCCTTTTAGATACTGGAAGGCTGTTGTGAGGTCTCCCAGGAGCCTTTGGCCCCAATTCTGTCAGCCTATTTCCATAGGAGAGGTGCTCCAGCCCTTTAATTATTTTTGTGACTCATTCCAACAGGTCCATGTCTTTCCTGCACTGGGCACCCCACAGGTGCAGGTGGGGTCTTACCTGAGCAGGGCAGAGGGGCAGAATCCCTCCTCCCTTGCTGCCCATGTTATGGGATGAGCTCAGGATATGTTTGGCTTTCTGGACTGCCAGAGAACACAGCTGGGACATGTCCAGCCTCTCACCCACCAGCAATTATCGACAACAGGAGTGGTGCAACCCAGCTGCAGGTTGCTGTGCATAAACTATTTATCACACTAGATTGCAGTAGTTTTTATTTGGGATGCCATTTTGATCATCACATTCTACTTCCTGACTGCAGATAAAGCCCACTGGCAGATCAGTGTTCTTGCCTGGGAATATTAATGTATTTCTCTGTCAGCCTTCATACTGCTATCTATTCCTTGCTGAACAATTTCACACATTTCACAAAAGGCTTTTGATTGCTTAACAGAGCAGTTTTATCAGAACAAATGCAAATTACTATTTACAACACATTTTTGATTCTCATCTTGGCATTAAATGGTGTTTCTCTGTTGCTACTCATTTTAAGACTTCACTTAGACCTTTGAAATGAGGATTCACCTTATAAATTAAGAGTATTCACTCTGAGTAAATATTGCATTCACTGTCTAGACTGTTGGAAGATGTCAGATTTCAGCACTCCCCTTATGCTGAGCAGATTCAGATTCCTACAGAAGACAGATGTTTGAAATTCTTGAACAACTGTGTCTTGCCTAACAATACACTGAAGAATCACATTTCAGATGATGGTACTGCTTGTGTGACATCCTCCCATCTTCACTTTTTTCCAATAAAATTAAATGGAGAAAACACAGAAGAGGAAAGCAAATAGCATTTATTGTCTAAAGAAACTTCAGTTCTGTTCCTGAAGCCAATTTTAAGGTATTCCTTTTTAAAGAAGCTGGGTGTATTTAGTAGAAATTACTCCAAACAGCAATTGGTTTAATCAAGAACATGCCCTTATAGCCCAAGAATTGAGCTGATAAAGCAATTTCTTAATGACTTAGCTTATATAGGCACAAGACAGCTTCTTCTAATTTTACCAGGTTAATGACAAAATTACATACAGCCAACTAGTTCATGTGTGCAGCTGAATCTGACACACTTTACCAGAACAGTTATAAGAAATTGTTAAAATTCTCACACAGAGAAGTTCACCAGCAATAGAGAACTATCAGCGTGAAAGCTGGGGTTTATTTAAGGCATCCTGGATACATTGTATAAATGTCTCCTACAGAATTCAGGGTAAACCCTGAGCAACTGGTTATCTTTTTCTGTGTCATAAAATGTAGTTCTCACAATATGTGCATGTAGCTATTCAGCATGCAGCTCTTTTAAGCACCCATCCTTCAGCAGCATGTGATACCTTTAAACAAAAAGTTTTGTTTTCATGGTACTTAAAATAGGATTTCTGTCAGCATAATTTGTGTTCTGTCTCACAACAATATACATTTTTTGTGTGCTGTGTATTACTTTTAAGGTATAACACAAGAAAGCAATTTTTAAAAACAAAATTAATATTGTTGTCTTTGAAAATTAATACAAAACATTTTCTTTTTCCCTCTAATTGTAAACTTGTTAAAGACTTGGTCTAAGCATATTTTCTCATTGACTCGGGCTGGGAATAGCCAGTTTTCAGGCAGAATTTCACAGATGTGTAACACAGTTCCATATCACCATCCCATTCTGTATGGTTCATGATTTAGAATACACCATTACACCTATTCAGAAGAACATCCAAAACTTTAAAAAACCATGGACAGGTGGCATGTGCTGGTGTTGCTTCATAACTAGTTGATTGTTAATTAGTTAATTGGCAGCTTCTATTTAATCCATGACATCAAGCTACAAAAAAATGAAGACTCCAAGTATCTACAAGTATCTACAAATATCTATAGTATCTCTTACAAGTATTACACTGAACACTAAGTTTCAGTGTAACATGTAAGGAATATAACTGCTAGTTTGTCCAAAGAGTTTGGGGTGTTTTGTTTAACTTAAGTGTTAAAGAAAATTATAATTTTAGCTTCCAAGGTACAGCACATTTGCAATGAAGTTGGATTTCAAACTGAGTTCAATGCTTTTGGTCATCACCATGGAAATGTGACTACTCAGGCACAAGAAATTTCTTTGGTACTTTTATTTTTCTTTTCTCTAAGCACAGCATTGGTGACAGCTTTTCTAAATTTAGAGATGTACCTGGAACTAGAACTTTGTCTTTTCAAATCAGATCTCCCTCCACATTCTCCTTACCATCCCTGCACAAAGATTAACCTAACCCCTGTTTGCTGAACAATACTCTGCAAAGCACTACTCTCTGAAGAAAATAGTCTAATTTTGTAAAAATCATTTATTCTAAAAAATTGGCACATCAATGAAAAGATTGCTCTGAAAAGATTCTATTCTTATGTATTGTAACATCTCTAAAATGCCAAAGTTCTCAGTTATGAAGTGTATGCCACTTAGAACTGCTTCACATCTTGAGCAAAAAAAGACACAACAAGCAGAAAGCAAGATTTCAGCAAATGCTAATAAAAATGTTCAGTGCTTCTGACATTAAAGAGTGTTTTAGATTGGAACAGATCTTTAAGATCAAGTCAAGCATTAACCCAGAATGGCTAAGGCCAACATTAAACCATATCCCCATGTGTAACATCTACATATCATTTTAGATCCCTCCACGGATATTTACTACATCACCTCCCTGGACCAGTGCTTTTCACCATTTCTGTGAATAAATGCTTCCTCATGTCCAAAGTAACCCTCCTCTGCCACAGCTTGAGGCCATTTCGCCTCCTCCTGTCCCTAAGAGCAGAGCCCAATCCCCCCGGCTGTCCCCTCCTGACAGGGAGTTGTGCAGAGCCAGAAGGGCCCCCTGAGCCTCCTTTTCTCCAGGCTGAGCCCCTTTCCCAGCTCCCTCAGCCCCTCCTGGGGCTCCAGCCCCTTCCCAGCTCCGTTCCCTTCTCTGGGCACGCTGCAGCCCCTCAATTCCCTGTGCTGAGGGGCCCAGAGCTGGACACGGCACTCGAGGTGTGGCCTCAGCAGTGGCAGCACAGGGACGGGCACTGCCCTGCTCCTGCTGCCGCCCCCCGGCTGCCACAGCCCAGGGGCCATCGGCCTCTTGGCCACCTGGCCACCCCTGGGCTCGTGTCCAGTTGCTGCCACCAGCACCACCAGGGCCTTTCCCAGCTTGCCAGCCCCTCTGCCCCAGCCTGGAGCTGCAGGGCGTTGTTGTGAGCCGAGGGCAGGACCCAGCACCTGCCCTGCTTGTGCCTCACCCCAATAGCCTCATCCCATGGATCCAGCCTGTCCAGACCCCTCTGCAGAGCCCTCCTGCCCTCCGGCACAGCCACACTCCCACCCAGCCTGGAGCTGCCAGGAATTGACTGAGGGAACCCTCCATCCCCTCATCCTGACCTTTGATGATGTTGAACAGGCCTGGCCCCAGCTCTGACCCCATGGGAACCCCACTGGGGCCCAGCCCGGCTGGATGTCCCTCCATTCCCCACCACTCCCCGGCCCTGCCCTCAGCCACTCCTTCACCCACAGAACAGGGCCCTGTCCATGAGCAGCCAGCTCCTCCAGGAGATGCTGTGGGAGAAGGTGTCAAAGGCTTTGTGAAGTCCAGGCAGACACAGCCACAGCCTTTCCTCAGCCCCTGAGCAGGTCACCTTGTCACAGGAGGGATCAGGTTGGTGAGGCAGGACCTGCCTCTCCTACACCCAGGCTGGCTGGGCCTGACACCCTGGCTGTCCTGTTCCTGTTGCTGATGGCACTCAAGGTGATCTGCTCCATGGCCTCCCTGGCACTGAGGGCAGGTCACAGACCTCTAATTCCCTGGATCCTCCTTCTGACGATTCCTGTAGATATGTGTCACATTTTCCAACCTCCAGTTAACTGGGACCTCCCCAGTTTGCCCGGACTGCTGGTAAATGATTGGAAGTGGCTCAGTGAGCTGGCTCAGCCAACTCCCTCAGCACCCCTGGGTGGATCCCATCCCACGACTTGGGAGTGTCTAGGTGTTCTAGCAGCTCACTGACCATTCCCTCAGGGATTATGAGGGCAACATTCTGCTCCCATTCCTGTCTTGCACCTGAGGGTGCTCACTAAACAAGGTAAATGTACTGTCCAGTATTCTTCTTTCTACTAAAGTTTGACTTTGAAAAGAAATAAGTGCATATGCTTGGAAAAAAAAATACAGGCAAATAATGTCTAGACCCATATGAAGCAAAAGATAACCACAAACCACTTGTAAAACACCAATGTGGCAAAAAACACCTACATCTCAAATACTTGTAAATAAAAAGTCCAACTAAGTCAACAAGAAAAATATTGCTATGTTTCTACTTGCTAACTGTAAAGATTTTTTTTAAGTACCAGATAATGTACTCTCATTTTAAAACACTAAAAATATTTAAAAATATTTAAGAATGAAGAAAACCTAGACCAATGCAATGTGAATTACAACAACAATTCAGTTACTTTTCTAGTTAAAGGCATTAAATTGGTATATTTTTATGGTTTCACACAGTGCAATGTGATTAAGCCTTATCTAATTACTTTCTTATTTGGGATGTGCTACAGTGAACACCTGACAGTACAAATCAGTGTTATCAAAATGAAATATAAGAACTGGGGAATAGGAAGATGTAAAACAAGTAACACAGTAGGAAAAAAATATATACATGATTGTCACATTTTTGAAACTATCTTTTAAACATATAAACATTTGAAGTTATCATAAATACAAAAATTAGTAAACTTTTAACCACCATAAAAATTTGTAGTTTTAACTCACAAATCCAACATGTGCATTTACACATAGCTTACATAACACATTCCAAAAGGCAAACCACAACACAGCCCTGTTCTCATTTCCTTAGAGGAACTTCTCAGCCAGCCTAATCTGGAAGACAAACATCTTCATGACCATCACAAGGATTTTAAGCCACTTATTCTGTTTTCTTTGCTTGTTTTTTCTTAGCACTCTCATGGTGCTGCTCAGAAGGCTGGTCACAGACTGAAGAGCCGTTGGAAGATGTGGCACCTTCACCCTTCACTTTGGAAGGTATCTTTCGTGAGCCAAAAAACATTTGGCCCATTGCAGCCTCAAAGGGAGCAAGTGGAGAAGTTGCACATCTTGTCAACATCATTTTTACCTACGAAGAACAAGGATCAAGTTACAGTAAAAGTTGTGATGGCTTCACAGGTAAACAAGTTCAAAGCTGAAGGGGTGTATGGCATTTTTAACTTTCTACGCGAGCATGAGGCTGTGCCACCACTAACAGAAGTCTGCTCATTTTAGCTGAAACTGGTCAAAGAATGCTTTTCTTTCTGACCAACACTCTTCAGACAGCTGTGAAGGGGATCTACAGGGAGGCCATAGAGGGATTCTTCATCAGGAGCTGTAGCAACAAGACAAGGGGGAATGGATACAAATTGAAAGAGGGGAAATTTAAGCTGGATTCCAGGATTAAATTCTTTACTGTGAGGGTGGTGGGATAGAGGTTGCCCTGAGATGTTGCTGATACCCCAACCCTGGTAATGTTCAAGACCAGGTTGGATAAAGCCTTGACAAACCTACCCTAGAAGAAGATGTCTCTGCCTATGGTAGGGGGATAGAACTGGATAATCTTTGAGACCACTTCCAGCCCTTAACATTGTATGACTCTATGATTCTATGAGCTAGACATAAACAATATGCACAAAAATACTCTCTGTAAGACTGATTATCCTGAGAGTAAATCACATTTAATGCCATATAACTAAGGTGAAGAGCAACTTTTATGCGTAAGTTCTGTGCCTTGTTCAAACTGAAAAACTGTAAACAGAGTGGCTTCCTTCCACCTAAATTGAAAAAAACAGAATGCATAAGGACCTGAATGTATAGGTGCATAACCAGATTTTAATTAGAATTCCAGACAGCCATAATCATTCCATAAAGTTCAGAGATTTAGGTGGACACCCCTTAGGACACATAACATGGAATCAGGATTGAAAAACCTGTTCTTCAGATCCAGGTACTGAACAAGTTAATATTGCAACAGTTTCAACAGCTTTCAGAGACATGACAAGTTTATAAGAGATTTCATTAAAGGACTAAGCTAGATATACTGTGGCTTTTTTACTTTGTTAGTGAAGTGGGTGGTAGAGTTCCTGACTGTCAGTACAACCATCAGTGTAAGGATTTAGTTACTCCAGTGTAACCAGACAGACAGTTTCTGTGGAAACCTGCAATTTGTCACTTCCAGAATAGCATTCCTTTCCCTCTCCATTCCCAGCATCCACAGTTCAACAATGCCTTTATCAGTTCAGATGGAAAATCAAGGACACAAGCTTCAAGTCTTGACTCCCTAAAGTAACTTCTGCAGAATTAAACTTGTCAGCTCCTTCACAGAAAGGAGACTGGCAACCACACTTCCACACATTCTCTGGTCTGTTCAACACCAGCTCTGAAACTCTTAAAATTGTCAGATATCTGCTAACAGAGATTCCTTTCTTATAAACTAGTAATCCAGAAGAAAAGCATCATCCTGGAAAGGAACAAGGCTTGAGGGACTGAAGACTTCAATAGAGAAGTAGTGTCTATTTTATTAAAAATAGTTACAGCTACTTCAAAATAGTTTCGGTATGCTTTCCCTTCCCACCCAAACACTTATTTTGTGAACACTTTAAACCAAATGAGAATCCAGCTGGCTTGTTTTACAAACCCACTGGTGACAGCATAGGTACAGACAAAAGACAGAGAACAGGAGAGTTTCTTTATACAAGAATAAGCTTTTTTTGAGATTACACACATACAAACCTGGAATATCAAATATTGAGTGCCAAAATTCCTGATTTTTTTTTTCCTTTTCCTCCCCATCCCCTGCATACATTTAACAGAGTCAGTATAACAGAACAGGTCTTCCATTCTGCTCGTGTATAGAACACTAAACACATTACTTCAGCAGGAGCTGGCCTTTCCATCCAGAAGCATGCATTTTGAAAATTAAATAAAATATTTTCTCTTACTTGGTCACTAGCAACACTTTCAAATTCTTACCTTGAAGACAACAAGAAAGATGGTGTATAAAAACATAAGGTTGTGTCTTGCTATTGGCAAGTATTGTCTGCGTTGCAGGGTGAAAAGAACTGCTCCTATCAAAGTTGCCTTCACAGGGCTAGAAATCAAACAAAGAATGTTAATTTCTCTTCTCTGCTCTACAGTGGAAGCTGCCTGGAAAGCAGTACATGTTCTTAGTGTGGAAAAGAATTGTCTCTGAATAGAACTAATGAAAACTTGTGCTAACTGTGGTGAGATCCAAAATCCAGGTATAACTAGATTAATATTTTCACTTTATATACTATTACTATGCTTTCTGTCCATATATCATCAAGTCTGGCACTACTTTGCACACCCAGCAAACTCCTATTTGACAAATACTCCTCAAATCAATGCTTCTATTCCGACTTTATATGTCAGTTTGATTCTCTTCTTCTTCTCCCAACATGTTTTATTGTAAAGTTAAATTACAGAACTCACACTACAAGGACTAGACATAAAAACCGGTTCCTATACTATACTGCAGGAGTTAGTTACTCCATGGAGTTGCTTAAGGTGTTGAAGAGTAACACAGTCCAAGTCTTGATCCACTGTAACACTCCAGCAGCTCTGGGACAGTATCAGCTTAGACCCAACTGGAGCCAGGCCTGTGTAACCAGGTTTTGTCAGTACAGTTGTGCTGACCTGAGACATGCAAAAATTTCCAATCTATTTCCAGTTTACAGTAATCTTTGTTGTGGTACTAAATCCCCTCCTAGGTATGCAGACAGAAACCAAGAGATTTTTGGTCAGTTATCCAGAATTCTTAATTTCTTAATCTACATGTGACATGTGCAGGGGATACTCCTGCATCCACCACATCCAGTGGTGACACTCCAGAGCATCTACTGTAGATCTGTTCTTCACTGTCGTTTCAGTAACCAAATTTTTTGGGCTCAAGAAGCCCAAAAAACAACCCTGGGTATGGAGGCATCTCATCCATTTGCAGGATGTTTGATGTGTTTAACTCTGTAATTTAATTCAATTTAATCCTTTTAAGACTTATACATAAACAAAACTTTTAAGATATTTTTTGAGTTACTTTGCCCATCATGGAGAAAGAGAATATATGCAAGTGATGCCAATCAGTAAGCATTGCTCTGGTGTTGCACCTATAAAGACAGTTTTATTTGTGTCTAGAGTACTATTTTTGAGAGTCACCTTTTCTTCTGGAAGTTTACGTTCAAGACTGCCATTTAGGCACTGACAAAAGAAAGAGAAATTCTAAATACTTAGAATTTCAGAAAAAAACAACTAACACAATCCACAGAAAGTTTAAATATTGCCAAAGAGAAGGCTACAAATGTCTCTCCTGTTATTCTGTGTCTAGGAGTGGCTGCTGAAAAGCAAGACAGCTTTTTAAAAAATAAAATTATTATTTTTAAAGACCTGAGTGTAACCTGGGAAAGATCAAAAGAATTTTAGGAAATTATCACAGTGACCTTATCTTGACTTACAATAATAGCTTGTGGCTTTCCAGCCTGTTTCAATTCTCATTTTACAGAGAAAACCAGGAGGCATGCAATATTCCTCATTCTTTGCTTCTGCAAGAGAAGTAACTTTTCCCATCTTGCAGGTCATTTCTGCTATACTGAATAACCAATTTGTACCTTCTCAAATAATTGGTGTCTTTGGAGGAAAATAGCACTGGCAGCAAAAGTAAGAGTGACAGTTCAAAGGAAGCCATCTTAGTGATACTCAGAACATACACCAAAATTCACTTGTGTATTTCTAGTACCTCTGTACTTTCATTTTTGATAGAAGACCATGTCCCTGTAAGAAAAACTGAGCCATTACTGCTTTCTAGCAATTCCCCACTAGGTCTTTACTACTTTCTGGCAAGTTTTGTTGACTTCTCTTCCCATCTGCAGCTCTTGGGCTATGAACATAAAATGGTTAAAACATCTCCTAAAAGTCCCAAAGACCAACATCCCATCTTTTGAGGATACACACCAAAACAGAGTGCAAATATGTCCTAGTGTTTTTTTTTATTTTTGGCCTCAACCACTGAAAGTAAGCACCATCACAAGGAGTTAGCAAAACAACAGCTAACTTGTTGCAGTTTTTAGAAAAAACTTACTAGGACATCTGCAGGAGCTCATTGGTTTCAGGTTTCCACACTCCTCTCACCAGCTGCTCAAAGTTGGAAATTAGGCCACCACCAGCACCTAAAATTGCAGAGATTTATGGCAAGTTTCCACTGACTGCTACCACTACTATGCCATTGCTCCCAGGAAAACTCATGACACCAGGTGCTAAATATGGCACCAAAACCCAGACTTAAGTAGACTTAATCCAACTTTTCATGCAAACAAGACTCAAACAACAGCCACAAAACTTTAGAGTTTGAGATACTCAGCAAGAACCTCAGGTCTGCCTGTGACAGCATCTAAACTGATGCAATCATCACATTCACATATGTTGCTTCCCACAGCAGCACAGAATCAACCATAAACAAGAGCTGCACAACTACTTTCTGAAGTGACCCTGATGGTGGGCCTGCAAATACAGCTGTCAGGAATGTGGTTTCCAGAGCTCCAAATGGCAGACAGGCAAGAAGGGTCATCCCCAGTTTTAAACCCAAGTCATGGTTATAACCCAAAAACCTAAGATAACCAGTTCTCTTCTTCAGCCTCATACAGGGACGCAGCTCTGAGGCAATAACACTGTTGGAAAGTTCAGCAACAGCTACACAGAAGATTTACCTCTTTATTGTCATCGACTGCCTATCCTACAAGTTCTTCTATGACTACTGAAGGGAACTTCCCTCAAAGCCCTTCAATGTCACCCTTAATTCAGGCAGAAAATCTGCAGCACAGGCTTTTTCCTTGAGGGGACATCAGATTTCATCAGGACTGCCATGCCCAGCACAGCAAGGATGGTGCTACAGTTCTGCTCAGGGGCTAGACATTTAAACACCACTCCAAAACAACCCAAAGCCTCAGAACAAGATGCTATGCACGTTACCTCTGGCCCAGCCCACAGCTACCATGACAAGCCAGGCGTCTTTGTAGACAATGTCTGCATGTGCAATGCCATCTGTGATCTTCCAAGTCCTTGTCACTTCTTTCATTCCTGCCACCAGAAGACGAAGAGGCAGAAAGGAAAAGCAGCGGCAGAATATGTCTTCTGGGCAGTAAAACGCTAGATACCTGAAAATAATCACAAAAAAAAGTTAGCCACATTTTTGTTAAGGAATTATCTTTTCATAATCTTTAAAGATGTTTTTGGCATATGACTAGCAATGCTTGATATACTTATGACAACTCAAAGTCTTGTGGTACACATCTTGGAACAAATTTGAAAAGCTTCTGAGTATGCCTGAGCTTTTGCACCAAAACCAAACACTATTGCCTCATTGTCCCAGAGAAGAATCCATTAAAGTACATGTGAAATAGTTTCACATTTTTCCAACTGTTCTACAATTTATATAATCACATTTTTATAATCCAAGTTACTAAAGTGGTATCTGATTGACTTTGTGTGGTTTGAGTTTATTTTGTGAGTTATATTTAATTTAGTTTTGTGTAGGGGGTTGTTTTGTTTTGGTTTTTTGGTTGGTTTTTTTGGGTGGTAAAAAGAGTAGTAAATTAAATGCTGATTCTGTGCTTCCAGACTGTAGGTACCTGGAATTATATAACCTCAGCAAGAATGCCTCCACTAGTTAGTGTCATGCTAGATGAAATGCATGGCTATTTTTAAACACATCTAAGATCTTAGTACTCACCAATTCTAGCTTTTCCAGCTTGCCAATTACAAGCACTCTTCTTTATTCAAAGCACTGAAAGAACATTACTCAAAATACCTTTGATCAACTTGCTTTTAAAACCAAGTAAAGATGGCTAACAGTTAAATCCTAAGTGACAGTAAATTTTAGAAGATTAGATTATGTAGTGTTTTATTGTATCTCTTCAATAATAAACAAAATTCAGTTCTTACTGAGACATTCACAAAAACCCAATCAAGATTAAGTGTCTGGACTAAATTATTTTAAGTAGATTATTTCAGCACAGGAGTAAGAGTGTAATAATTGCATAAGAGCAGAGAAAGTATTTAAAAATAAGGATAACCTTTTGTTATCTTAAAAAAAAATAATAAAGACACTTTGCTTTAAGGTTTTAGATCTCAATCCTGTCTACCAAGAATTTCTGAGGCCTTTCCAGATGTCTCTGTATGCAACCAGGCTTCAGCCAAAGATGCAGAGAGAGGATTTATTTTAGAGGCTACTGCAAGAAGCCATTTAAGCCACCTACTCACCAGACAACTCACACCAGAATTGATTTACATCTGCAGAATGTGGGTTTAGAACCCTGAAGCACTGGTGACAGGACTGAGGCTGGCACTGAAGGCCCACCACGACATTCCTGCCTGTAATCTCTGCTAACGGTAGATGCCGCTGTCCTACAGACTATTTACGAGCATTCCTCAAGCCCAGAACAACTTCACTCACTTTCCAGTTCCAAGCATGGCTTGGGGAATTTCATTTTGCATGATCTGGGACCAGGAATTAAGGTCATTACACTCAGGAAGAGGGGATTTTGTAAAGCTGGAAGCTTAAAACGTTTTGTAATATTCATAGCACCCCACTAAAACCCTCTTTAAGTTGTGCATGACAAACCACATTTGACCACAGTGAGTTAAACAGAAATCCTGTTCTCTTCAAGCATAGCCCTAGCACATGGCACTTGATGAAACAAGCAATCAGTCTGCCCACATCAGACTAACAGAACTACAGGCAGATTCTGTAAGCTCTGTTAATAATTCACTAATTAATACATATTATTAATTTCACCCATTTGCCTAAATCCAATATGTCATCTCCTATTGCAACACAAAGACTGCAAAACTAATACATATTCTGAGACAGATAGAAACTTTCTTTCAGTTTAATGAATTTGTAGCTGTAAAACTTATGGGGCTACTGGAACTACAGGATTTTAGGCAGGTCAGACTATCCAAATATAGTGATTGAGCTTTCTAAATTCAAAACCCCACTGCTGCTCATAATTTTTGTTAAGCTTGAAGTTTTCTTCAAAGATCACTTTCTGGAACAAATGAACTCCACTTGAAGGCCACATTTATATGAAAATAACTCCAGAATATTTTTTTTTTTAAATTTTTTTATTTTTTAATTCCAAAGCTTGCCAAATTGCCTCATACTTGATTCAAGCATACAATTCAGCTGGCTACTGTCTTCTGCAACAATACCCACCCATCTGGGAAGGAATGAAATACTGAAAAAAAAATATATGTGTCTGGTAGTAGGAACTGGAAAGACGTGTCTTGGAACCTCAGTTACAGGAAAGTCCAAAATTTTTACATCAGCCAGGTTCTGGGCTTCAAGAGCTACTTTTGCAAAACTTGACTGCTTTTATGACATACCTGTGTTCAGCCAATCAGCAACTGAATTAACTTTATTATTATTTTTCAGCTGTTTGACCAGGAATACTATAAAAACCTAAGGCAAGTCTAATCTAGCAACAGAGCATTTTGTAACACAACAGGCTCTAAGAGATGCTCTCTATCACCAAAGAACAGGATCAAAACAGCTGCTGTGACCCTCTGGATGAAGAGACAACATCCAGACCCACAACACTTCCAAGTAAAAATTATGATTTACATAGAACCTTAATGGTACAGTGTCAGTTCACAACATATAGCTTCCTTAGAGCCAATATTAGTTATCTTACCCCATTGTGGCTGCTTACCAGACTGAGGATGCCAGTAGAATATTTATGGTCTTTGCCAGAAATGCAACTGGAGGTTCACCAAGCATCAAGGAGGACAAAACTGAACCCCCAAAGCAATAAAGCATTGCACTAAACCAGCAGGCCAATGGACTTCGCACCGACACTTCCACAACTCCTGTGGGAAAAAAAACAGTAATAACAGTAACAGCATAAACAGAAATGAAAACTGAATAATAACACCATGTTTTAAAGGTCAGTATTTTTCAATTTAGTTCCTCCAGGTAATGAAAAATTCTCCAGCAATTGGCAGGCTCTCACAGGAAAATTTTCCAGAAATACAAACCTAAGGGTACGGTGACTTTAACCTACGCCTCCTAAACAGAAGTGAAAGGCTGACAAAGTGTTCCCTGAACATCTTTTGTGCATTAGTTTGTTATATCTGGGTACCATGAAGAAAAGGCTTTCAGAGCATGGCAGCAAGGTCCTGTTGTTAACAGCCTGACACAGGAACATACTTGCTTTCAAATTTGTATTAAAAACATCTAAGTGGCTTATCTAAACAGGATTGCTAACATTTAGAGGGTTATTCTAGGAATTCCATTTCTGCTTTTGAGTGTTCCAAGAATTCAAGGTAACTGTTTTGCCTTCTTTCTTTGTAATACCGGGCTGTGATTGCTGGCCAAAATGAAAATGGCATCCAAAATAATTATCAAATTGTTTTCACCTGCACTCTCAAAGAGAGGAAAAAAAGGTTACCTTGAATTATAATAATAATAAATGTAAATTTCCCTAATTATTAAAAGGTTGACAGTTTTGTTTATTTCATTATCTTTAAAATAAACTATCCTTTTAAAATGCAAGGGAACTATGCCAAAAAGAGTACTCAATATTAAAAGATTATACTGGAGGTAATGGGAAATATTAACCATTTTCAGAGGAAAACAATATTTTACCAAAACTGGAAATATCCTCAAGTAGTTGTTTTGATTATTTCCTTCTACTTTAAAAGTTCAGTGTTGCCAGAACTTCCCCTTTACACTGGTTCTGAGCTCTGTTTGCCTGAATGAGTTTAATTTTCTGAAGTCCAAAGGCTGAAGTTCACAAGAGCACTACTGTCTGCCCCAAAATGAATTTGTCATCTGTCCCCAGTTCACAGTAGAAGCTTTGGTTTATCAGACACTTCTGTAGGAAAAGAAGCTTCTTACCCAAGACGAAAGGCTCAAACATTTAAAAAAACATACAGCACTCTCAAAACAATTCACTAAATATATTAACAAGACTGTTCCAGTTTTAGTGCTGCCATAGATATCAAGTACTCCAACACTATCTAAATGTCCTGATGCAGCCAACTTGTAAAAATGAGCACTCCTAAGCATTACAGAATACCTGAATATAAAATAGTATCTCTTTTATTTTTAACTATTTTGTAATTTATTTTTCAAATTGCATTACCTGGTGCTCCAAGTAAGACACTTGTAAAATATTAATGGCTTGTGTTTACTACTTTTGGAGTAAGTTTAAATTTAGGTATCTATTCTCTCTTCAAATCCATTTCCTGCCTTCCAACAACGACTAGCTTCTCCACATTTCCTTTTCCCCACAACTAGCAGCAAGTGGCTTTCAATTTTGAGGGCACATCCAGCTTGCTCTCTACAAGTAAGCTTTGAAACAATGCAAGTAAATTTCTTCATTTTACAAGTAAAAGGTCAAGAAACTGGAAACTACTGCACTTCAATATTTTTCTATTGGTCAGCTCTAGAAATGGATCAAATGCCTGTTTTTAACAATTTATACCTGCTTTCTTACAAGGAATATACCCAATACAGAAGGCAATGGGGCAAAAAACATTGATACTAATTTAAATATCATCTTAGCTTTGCTACCTAAATTATGACTGGGGTCTAGCCTTTCAGAAGACAGTTTTAAGTAGGTCACATGTTTTTATACAGAGTGGTCATTTATATTTGTCCTCTGATGCATCCTCTAAAATTAATGAGGCATCACAGTGCCATGCAATGGTGAATCGGCCAGAAGGCCACAAGCCCTGCAGATGTACACTTCAGAAAGTTAAGGAAAGGTTTCAGAACACAAGGACTAATTTTGAATTAAGTTTTAAATATCGTTCCTGAACAATAGTAACATTAAAAGAAAAAAAAAACAAACAAACAAACAAACAGAGAAAACACAACAAAAAAAAAAGAAAAAAGACAAACCCAAACATCACAAAACAAAAAACAAAACAACCAAAAACACCCAAACAAACAAACAAACCTTACCAACTAACTATTTCTGCCAATAAGATTATATCTGCTTTAAACTTTTCAGCATAAAAACAGGTAATAATGCATATTACACACACATCTAGTGAGCAAACCAGGACGATATGCACAATTTTTTTCTAGTAACCCATTCAACTATATACAATATCATTAATTAAGATAAAGGATTTATAGAGTCAGACTCAACAGAGAAAAATTATGCTGGAGAAATAATTTCTCTTCAAATCACCTGAAACACATCACAAAAAAATGTCAGAAACAAACCAAATATGGCACATCAACACCTTTTGCTGTCTCTCTATCCCAAAAGAAGAAAATTGCCAGTTCTACAACTGGCTGGAGTTACAAACTAGCAACTCCTAAGCCATCCTCAAAGCAGTAATCAAGAACTCTTCTTTTAAATCACGCAGAAAGCAACAACTTGGTTGTCACTGCTGCGGTTTTCCAGTCACAAGTGGGCAAGAAAGCCTGACCAGGAGGGTTGGAAAAGTCCCAGGTAGTGTGCACCCATCCATGATCCAAATGCCCACACTGAATCTGATTTTAAGCAGTGGGGGTGGGTTGGTATTTTAATGAGACAGTAATCTGGGATAAAGCAAATGTAGCTGTAACTTGACCACACACTTCTTACATCACCAGGCACTCATGGCCCGTTATTTCCCTGTCAAATATAGCCACTGTTTTAAGTTTCCAAGAAGAACATAAAGCCTAGACAGCGTTAATTGACAATAATATATCCATACTGAGTATTCATAATAACTGCTATTTTAGTTATGATTTAATACTCAGTTCAAACCACTTGGGAAGTGAGAAACAGGCCAGCAGGCAGGCACCTGGATTACAGTTATTAATTCCAAGTGTTAGAAAATACTCAGGAGTTCTGAACTACCAGCTATTAAGCCAAGAAGAAAATAATAAATAGGAGCATGGATCTGACCAAACTTCTGACAGCAATTTTACTTTCCATAAGTGTTGCCTCGCTAAAACTATGCTGATGCAAAGCATGAGGCCTCTCATCCTGGTCTTTAGGTGTGCCCATTCTAGAGAAAAGTTTAAAGGTATTGCATGATCATGTCAAAAAGTCCCTTTCTAAATGGAACAGACACATTACACTATGCCACAGCACCCATTAAAAATTTTAGCAGCATTAATAAAGTTTGGTGAAGATTCTAGAATACTTAAGGATTTTTATACCAGTCTTCACAGTCTGTTAAGTGCATTTCACCAGCAGAAGGTCAAAATTCACCTCAGAACATTTAGAAAGGGACCAAAGAACAAGCTCTCACTAAACAAACACTGCAGAGCCCTATAAATCTGAGGCAAGCAGCAGCTCCCAAATTTGCACTACAATCCCAAAAGCCAGCTCAGTTTTCTACACAGTTATCACCTGGGATACACAGTTACTGTAAACATGTCTAAACCCATACCACAAGTGGCTTAATTCTAAACGCTGAAACAAGGCCAGTTGTCTACACTGTTACACTTGTGACAGCAAATATCAAAACAAAACAAACCAAAAAAAAAAAAAAGCCAGGCTTGGGGTTAACAGCCACAGTGTAGAAGATTTTCTGGAAGAGAGCATGTAGAGACTGAAATGCCGTGATGTGCTTTCATTCAAAACCTCATTAGCAGAAGTGTAAAGCTTTGCTAAATTCACTTTACTATCCTTGGGGTACAAGCCACTAGCACAGGACCCACCCGTGAGAGTCCTGAGCTGTTTCCTACAAGGCAGAATGGCCTTAAGGCCCCTCTGCATAAACCAAAGGATGTAAAACAGCCTCTCAGATGCAGTTCTGGGCAGAGATATTGGCCTGTGTTACACATGCCTTCTCTGCACCCACAAACCGAACTTCGAGGGGCCTCAACCCTTCTACTCCTGAGACTTTAAAACCGAAACAAATGCATAACTGAATAAAAATTAAAAGGTTTCCAGCAAAACTCTTGCTTGTTTTCGCCAGCGCCTCTTAAGTTCTGGCAAGTAAGAAAAGCTTGGCTGGGTGTCTTTTGCGGGAGGTGAGACATCGCTTATGGGCAGATGAGCTAATGCGAGCGGCAGACAATCCCATTTGCACGGCCATGGGGTAACCGGGTCGGCTGCTCCTCTGGGGACCCCCATCCTCAGCCGGCCGGGACGGGGCACCCCGCGGGACACACGGGGAGCAGGGCCGGGGGAGCACGGGGGAACACCGGCATTGGGGTGGGGGTGTGGGGTGTCCGCCCCGTCCCGTCTCGCCCCGCTCACCCCGCTGCTCCTTCAGCGCCAGCACGGAGGCGACATAATGCGCCAGGTCGAAGAAAGGGAACATGCGGAGGCGGGAGAAGCTCAGCGGCACCTGCCACAGCTCCATGGCAAGGCACGGAGCTCCCGGAGCGGCTGCCCGGGACTGGAGAGGCAGGAGA